ATCAATTTATCACATTTTAAATAAATTAATAATCTGAATTTATTAAAATAAATATATTAATAGTAACTAATTTGTGATAAACAAAATTTCTCTAAAAAAATTAACTAACGAAACTTATTCTGAATTATGAAATAATTTATTCCTAAATTTTACAGTATATACTATTAGACATTATAATACATAATTGATTCTAAATTTTACAGTATACACTATTAGACATTATGATACCATATATTGAAAAAAAAATTTTAAAGAAAAAATGTAACTATCGTTTAAGTTAGGGTAAAGTGGATTAAGTAATATAATTGGCTTTAATACATGTGTAAATTGTCCTTAATGTTTAAAAAATTAAGTATTTTTTTTTTATGATAGTTTTCTTTTTGCTTACATTTTTCAATATAATAATTGGCCACTTTCTTTTGAGTTTCATCTACAATTTCACTAATAATTGTTTTAAAAAAGTTCAAACAATGATCGAAATCGCCTTCTTTGTATAATTGTTCGGCAAAACCTATTTTATCTTAAACTTTAATATCTTGAACTTTAATATCTCCCATTTAGAGAAAATTATTATTTATATCTAGCTTGGCTTGAGAATAAAAATTGGTTTATTCGTGAAAAATATTTTTATGAATATAGAACTCAACTAAGTATATTTATAAATCACAAATAATAATACCATAAAATTTAATTAATTTATTAATCTATTGATAATAATACTTAAAATTATATAATACAATATTTAAATTGATTTGATTAGATAATTGAAATTAAATACCATTTATAAATTCGATTCTGATTCTATTTCGCAAAAAAAAAAAAGAAAAAAATAAATTATGAACTTATTCATAAGTTTCAAAACTTAAGCTTTGACGCAAGAAGCTATAATAATCAAGAATCTTTACAATTTGGCATTGAAAATTTTATAATTGACTCTAAATCACCGCTTTATGCTGAAATTTCTGAATGGTGAGCAATTATTAATGGCATGGTTTACTTTTATTTGAAAATCGACAATAGAATAAAATGGATTTTTTTAACAAGTTTATCAAATTCTTATGAAGAGCATTTACCAAAAAAATGCAATTTTTGGTCAGAAACAAAATATAAAAAGATAGAAGCTCTAATTCAAATCTTATTAACTTTAGAAGAAAAAAACTTTGCAAGTTTTGATTTCAAATATTCAAACGAAAATAAAGTAGTCTCTAATTTGATTAAAAAAGCATGCTAAATTGTTGAAGAAAAACCAATTAATTATGATATATTAGATTTATTTGACATGGCAATACACTTTAAAAACTCACTTAAAATTATAGGTGGTTCTTTTTATGATCGATACCTCACAATGAATATACCTAGTTTATTATTACAAAACTATTTTATTCAAGTAATTCAAGTAATAGAAAAAATTATGCAAGCTGCGCAAACAACTTTATTAATTTTTGGGCCATTTGGATGGAACTGTTTAATATATTTAATACAACATGCTCAATTTTTAAAGTATATCCTGACTTTCGAAGAGATTTTAGGATTCACAACTGAAGCAAAAAGATATTTCTCATTAGACATTCTGTGTAAATTCCTTCAAAAAGATGAGCAATTTAAGGAAGGAAATTATCAAGATTATATTAGATTTATATTTTATAAGATAATTACTGTAAATTATTAGGTTTTTAAAATTATGTCATCAGCTGATAAGTGTTTCTACAAATAAATTTATTGATGCTTAGTATTGTACTGTATTTACTAATTTTGAATAATATAAAAAAGACCTGATTATAAACTAAAAATCTTTAAATTTGTAATAGAAAAAATAAATTGCCTTTAAAATATCTGCATGACCATTTATAGGTTTTCATACCAACTTCGTACAAACTGACAGTCAAATTCGTACAAACTGATAGTCAAATTTATTTGATTCATCGAAATTAGATGAATCAAATGGTACTAAATTTACGTAATTGAAGTTACTAGTTCATGAGATATTGTGATTTAATTAAAAGTATTATATACAAATTTGACAGTCAATTTGTACAAATTTGACTATTAGTTTGTACGAATTTGACTATCAGTTTGTACAAATTTGACTGTCAGTTTGTACGAAGTTGGTATGCAAAACCTGTATTAAGTCAATATTAAATTGAACGTGTGATGAATATTCAAAATCTAACACCTTTTTCATTATTAGTTATTCGAATATAAAAGTAATAAAGATAGGTTAAAAAGGTATACTTTTTAATTTGTCGTGTGGGTTTTTTTTGGAAACTTAAAATTTTTTTTAATATTCTTAGCTATTTATATAATTTAAAAGAATAAATTTACATGGGGTTTGTTTACTCCGAAACCACAAAAAAATTTAAATTTTATGAGATTAAATCTTCTTTTTTGT